ATATTAAACAAGGCTTTTCTAATAAATTTAAATTGAAAATGGCGTCCTAAATTTGAAGTGGCAACAAAATGGTGGAGCGTTTTATGACATCGATCACCGCGTTAAAAATTAATCAAATATTCTTCAGTTCATTCCAGCAAAAAATCACCAATACAGTGAGCACGATTGCCACTTTGGTAGAATTGTACCAAATATGGGCCTTTTTTGTTTGTTTTGGGTCTTTTTGAAGCAACGTTCGTTTGAATAAGCAGCACTCACGGTTTCAAACCTTATACAAAATTTAGAAAAATTCAACAAATTTTCATCAAAATTTCAACTTTTTGATCTAAATCTTTAGAACATTTTTAGGTATGCAGTTTTATAGCCCATACTATTTTAGTCTAATGAAGTGCAAGTTTCAACCGCCTAAAAATGCGCTATACTTTTATAAAAAAAAAAACTTAAACATCGAATAACCAAAAGAAATATAGCCACAACTGTTCAAAATAAAAAGTTTCTATTATTTCTTTTACCACTGTATACTTGATTTGACTGTAACTGCGTACTAAATCTCTTTCGCCAATGGGTAACTTCAGCGGAAATCTATACAAAAAATTGTTTGGTTAATTGCTGAAGTGACAGTCCTTGGCCAAACATAAATGCAGGTGCTTCCAGACCGCACTGGGAACCAACAAAAAAGTTAGGTAGGCGTCGTCAATCTTTTTCAATTTTAAAAGGAACCGTCCTAAAGGTTTCGATGTTCAAGCATTGCATTTTCTCTGAGCTAAAATTTGTACTCTAACCTCAGATCTCCAACGTTTATTATGTTTCAGATGGTTACGCTGCTTATTTTAATCAATAATTCGGTCAAAAAAACAACTCTTCAATAGAACGAGTCTCGGTTAATTAATCCCTGCGATAATTAAACAAAAATTCGTGCATTTTTGAGGCGCTTACTAGGCAGCAGGAGATACTAAACCCACTAAAATACAAAATCCACCATAGCTGCTGGGTGCCCTCAAAACATATGGCAGCGCTCACGTTTCCCACAAATATATGTATGTATAAAAAAGACGCCCTCCAACTTGGCCGCGCACTCCGCTAACGATTGCCCAGCAACCGCCAACCTACGAGCACAGCCCAATATGCACCTTTGTACTCTGCCACTCATACACACACAAGTATATTGAATACCAATAACAGATGGATGGATGGATAAACGGATAGGTGCACGTCCCATATACCTCGTTGCTCAAAGCCAATATGTGCGTTTTTTTTTTCTTTTTTCGATTTCTTGCATTTTCACAAATGTATGTAGCTACGTGTGTTTGTGCATTTACATATTTATTTAACTTTGATGTCACGGCAGAGACCAATGTTGCATATTCAATGAACAAACTATCTACGTATGTACTTATGTATCTATCTATCTAAGCCAGGCTATTCAATATTGCAACAAAAAAGGCAAGAACAACAACAATAGCAGTGACAGCAATATGACGTTTGCAACAACAACAACAACATCGCTTATTCCTATAATAGCAACGTAAAGCGCTGTGTGTGCTCGTTGAAAATAATGTCAGCAGAATTAGAAAAGGAAGGAAATGAATGTGCAATGTACAATTCAAAATAGGGAATCCAACAAGAAAATGTGAAAACTCGCATGCAAGCAAATGAAAACAAAAGGTAGAAACGCATTTAGGTGCAAATAAGTAAAATAAAAGTGTTGGCACGTACTTTGCATGGGAAATGCACAAAAAGAAGGAAGTTGATTGAAAAGGCATTTGATGATGTGCGCTATGCGATTGATAGTACATAGTATGTACATATGTATATACTACATAGTTGGTTAATAATTTAAATAAAGGGGGAACATTTTTAAAATTTTTTATTTAGACATACATTTTTCTGAAGAGGAGATGTTTGTGTTAACTTTTTCGGAACCTACATAAATATTAAACAAAAAATAATACTAGACATAAGAATAATAAAATAGAAGAAATATTTTTCTCGGTCGTAGAAAGACCCCGTGACTGTGCTTGAAGCAAATTTTTCCAGCAGAAAAAAAGCTTTCCAGAATATTTAAATTTCATTTTTGTTTACATAAGTATGTATGTACACTTTTCATCAACCCCATGATTCATTGTTTATTCATACTCTCGCATACAAGCACACCAAACCTCAACCTGGCTGACCATGACAACGACTATATAAATATACATACATATGTACATATGTATGTTTACCTAAACTATTAGCCAAGAAAATTTTCTCATGTTTTAACACATTTTTCACATTTGGCGAAAAGAAATTTTAAAGAGAAAGCAGCAGCAGCGGTAGTAGAGACACGCTCACGCTATAATTTCAACCCCCCTGAGGTGTAACAAATATGAAGCGATTTGTTTCTTCTTTTTTTTTTATTCTATATAGTTACACACGATTTTTGCTATAACAACGCTACAAAGCGAATGCTTAGAGGGCGGTAGGTATCATTTTATTGTCGAAGGTGTTCTGTTAAGTAAGTAGATATCCTTGTCATGCACAACAGGACATTTTCAATGTTGCAATCGCAACCATATGTTGGCCAAACAATAGGACTTAAGGTAAATGATTCCTCAATTGGAGATTTTCTTTTTGTACGGAACACGATTTTCGTTTTTTTTTTGTTGTTTGTCCAAACTCGATAAATTCACCAAAGAGAAGTGAAAACAGATTTAAAGTAAAGGAAATGGAATTTCAAGATTTACAAATTCGATAACAGAAAAGGTAGAAATAAAGGTTAAGGGCAAGGAAGATTCAAAATAAAATGCAGAATTTATGCTAATGCATACCTACATATATAAGTATGTAATGTACGTAACATTAGGGTGCATCCCTCTCCACAAAAAAAAAAATATAAAAAATCGGTACTGTTTTTCCATCGGAATTATAAAATTTATTATACTTTAAGACTTCCGCCAAAATATTTCAGACAAATATTAAGAATAACGTAAGCTGAGCCGATTTAAAAATACCTCCGAAATCAATTTTTTTATAGAAAAAAATTCGTTTAAAAAAATGTATCTTTTTCAAAATATCACCTCAAATTATAAAAGAATTTATGATAAAAAGTTCTGCATACAAAAATATCTTTAAAAAATAAGTTTACTCAGGAAAAAACACGATTTTTGGAAGCATTTCCAATATATGATAAGCGCACCGAAAAACAATAACGACTTGTTCCCCCTCTTTGGAGGTGGTGCACTGAAGGTTTAACGAGCCATTTTTTTATTATCTTTACAAAACGATATTTTCCTTTTGCAATACCAGGCGCTCATACTTATACACCACCACGTTTTTTTTCGAAAAATTTAACAACTGGTGAGATTCGCTCATATACATACATACATACATACATACATTTGAAGTAGTAATTTTCTATATGCATAAATTTGTTTGTATAATTTTTTAATTCGTTTTTAGAAGCCTTTAAAATTCACAAAGTGAAATTTTGGGAATTTAAACATTTATATAAACAACTTGTTACTTTACATGTGTGAGCGCCTGGTATTGGGAAGTGACACTATCCTTTAGACCAAATAAAGACTGCGGTACCCTATATAAACTTATTTTTGTGACTGTATACAATTTGATTGGAACTGAATTAGAGAATCCGCATAGCAAAGTATTTCATTCACCTGGAGGCTCATTAAGTATTGAATTATATTTACTTCAGCATTCTAAGTTTACTCATGTAATTAGCACCTTGCTGTGTGAAATCGCTTTTTTAATGATTCTTAATTAAAAAATATAAGCCCTCTACCAAACAAAAAACAAAATTAATGGAATCTTACTTGTAAATATTTCATAAATTAAAAATTTAAATGCTTTCACAGTTACACAGCTCTGGAATATGTGTGTACACGTGTACGTATGTATGTACAATATATGTATGTAATTATAAGTATGTACATACATATGTATATGTGTTTACTTGAACACTCATCACAAATTCTTTTATCCTCTTCTTGAGTTTCTTAAAATAACTTTTAAAACCATTTTTTGCTTCACAATGCTTATCAGAAAATTTTGCAAAATACAAAAAAAAACATTTACAAAAAATACTCGTAACTGCCACTCACAGCGGAAATATGGAAATATTTTATGATACATACATGCATATGTGCATATTGACCCAGCTAACAAAAAACCATGTGTCTAATAAAGGAAATAATCGAAAAAAACATATCGGATTTTTTTTTTACTAAAATTTTTAAGTTAAACATATTAGTTGATTATTAAAAGAAATTAAACAACAAAACAAAATTCAAAATTTAAATTTTTTACTTGTAATGCTGTTATCACTAGGGACACAAATAAAAAAAAAAGTATGCCCATTAAATTCTATAAAGATACTACATATTAGGGATGTTGCGAATGTGGAATTTTAGACATCCGCGGAAGCGAATGCAGATGCGGATGTTTAAAAGCTAACAACCGCGGATGCGGATGCGAATGCGGATGTCATGTATTTTGAAGAAATAATTTAGGTGGGTAAATTAGGTGATTTAGATAAATAAAAAATGGAAAGGTTAATAATTTTTAATAATCTGCCTTATCCTGAGTTTTGCCCGAAAAAAATTCACCCGAAAATTTGTTTTCCGCCCATAGTAAATATGTACATGAAAACCAAAAGTGAAAAGTGAACCGGTTCGGGGAAAATTAAACTCATGATAAGACTGAACGTTTTTTTAGTACTTGAATTTAAAAATTGGAACATTTCACTTAATAAAAACTATTTGAAGGGTCGTAAATCAAACCTGCGCCACTATATAACTACTCCCTCGAGGCGACAAACTTGAAAAACTTGAAACTTGGCAAAATTGTAAATTCATTCTTGATTGCGAGTGTTTGCTGGGTACTATACATACATATATTCGAAAGCAAAAATATGTACAAATATTTATGTGCACATATAACCCCATAATCATCATTTAATAAACCATATTCTTCTCCCAATACATGTACTTGTAGGTACTTACAGTTTCGTCCAAAGAATTCACGGAATTTTGTTCTGCAAGACTGCAATCCATATTCCAACAAAACAAAATACCAAAAACCACCGATAAGTAGCGTATGTTAGTGCTTGTGAGATGTTGTGTTTGTTGTAATCGTTATAATCGTTGAGGCAGCAAAACTGACGAGTGGGTTGATGGCGGCGGGGTTTTGTACAAAAACTATGGCACGTACAATACTCAATTTATATATCAATAAATATACCGCCGACGTAAGTATGTAAGTAAATTTACATTACGAAACATGAAACGAAACCAACGATTAGGGCAAAATTCCACGATTTATGCGTTTTTTAGTTTCGTCTGAAGAAATACAGCATTTCGTCCGAACTCATTTTCATTGTGCACACACAAATTATCGTTAAATCCAATTTAATTGCACACACTGCACTTTTACTGGCTACTTGCTACTTCTTACGCTATGCAGTTCATATCAACCAGTCAGTCAGTCACAGCTGGGCTTCGCGTATCCGGCAGAAGAGTTGGGACAGGGTGCCGCTATTGCGTGGGTGGCGCAGGTATTACTCGCAGTGCCACTTATCGCTATGCCGCTATAAGCAAACGGCGGCTACACAACACTACTGACAGTAAAGTAAGTACATACCTACACACATGAATACATATGCATGTGTGTATGAAAGTGTGTATTCATGCGAGTTTTTCGGTTCCGTTTCGTTTGTGCAACTACTAATTTCCTACGCCGCTGCCTACGCATACATTTGTATATACTTATGTATACTGGTAAAAAACACACACACGCAAATAAACGTTTACAGTCTGGCATACACTTAAGTACTTAAAAATGCAATAGTGGATTTAATTTTGTAATTTCCTTGTTTTTCGTCTGCACTTTAATGTTATTTTTTTTTTCACACATTTATGTGCCGCTGTTCCCGTTGCTGTTGGCAGCACTTTTTTGGGTGTAGTTCGTCGTCTATTTGTATATGTTTGCTTTTGCCTTTTCTTTATTCTACTCTAGCTCAATATACTTTTTACTTTTGCCATTTATCTCTCGTATTCGGCGCATATGTATATATATTCATAAATGCATTCTTCTTCTCCTTCTTCCGCTTTATTTAACTGGCGTTCTTCGTCGATTTGTTCGTGGCTCACCCTCCCACTCTCTCTTCTGCGATTTCTACTCCAATCGACCACAAAGTACTCGTACTACAGCAAGGTCCCCCGTTCAACTTTATCTTTGCTTACTATACAACAACATATACATATTGCACTGCTTCCTCTTCTTCGAACTCCCACTCAGCTCCAATTCACTTCACTCGCCGCTGTCGTGGTTGACGTCGTTATCGTTGTCGTTGCCGTCACCGTCGCCTTTATCGTTTACGCACTTCCACTTCACTGTGTGGCGTGTCCCGCATGCCTCACTGCACTTTTCCCACCCACTAATTTCTACTCTTTACGCTTCGCACTCTATTTCCTTCCTTTTCCTGCTTTAGCAGCAAAGCTACAGACTTCTAAAAAAAATTTAAAATTTTTTCGCACCTTTTTGTTAAAATTTCCTAAATTTTCTTTACTATCAGGTGCACACAGTGCTACAACTACACAAATTTTAGTAAGATCCAATTGGTATTTATTAATTTTGTCAAATAATTTGTAATTGAAAATTTTCACTGAAAAATTTATGATTCAGCCGAACGCGGTGGTGTCTGTATGAGAACGAACAATAGTTTGGGAGTTAAACGAGCTGTCCGAGCAAAAACCGCCGCCCCCACAAGCGCTGCACAAGAACTGAATAACCAGAAAAAGGAGAAATGGAAGTGGAGTAACATCCGTTGACAGCAATGGCAGCAGTGTAAGCTGTGTTAAATATCATTTACTCTGCGCGATAGGCTTTGTTTAGCTGGCGCTACATGTCCGCGATGGCACTAAACAACGCCGGAAGCTTCCATATACGGTAACTTGCCGCGGCTTGCTTTCCTTTTCAACTTAATTCTGAGAATTTGTGGGTATAAGCAGGTTTGTGTTGGTTTTTGGTTTGTTTGGTGAAGCGCCAACAGCCACAGCTACAAAAACCTGATAATGTTCTCCGAATTTGGATATACGGTGTCATTGAACTAAATCACTTAATTATTTTGGCACATGTTATTGCCGTTCTCCAAAATATTTGGAATTGGACTGTCTATGTGACGATTTCAAGCGGAAGCCACTAACACAGAAGCAAAACTGCTAATGATGTCGCTTTTTTGGAAATTACGAACATTAAAAAGCAAATTTGAAAAATTTATGTGAGGCTGGTTTCAATCTTCATAGTTGGAGAAATAAGAACTACGGCCGCTGTAGCCGAGTGGTTAGAGGTGCGTTTTATTACTCCAAAGGACCTGGGGTTGAGCCCTGGTCAAAGCAATATCGATAAAAAAATATTGAATAAAGCGTTTTTTTTTTATTAACAGTGGTCACCCCTCTGCTGGCAATGGCAAACCACCGATTGTATTTCCGCCATGAAAAAGCTTCTAATAAGATCCATTTACCGTTCGGAGGCGGCGTAAAACTGTAGGTCACCCCATTCACCAAATTGGAAGAGAAACTCGGCCAAACACTTAGCAAAAGTGTAAATGCCAAAATATTATATCGGCTAGCAAAAAGGCGCGCTTGGTTCACACTATCATCGAAACAAAATGTGAATAAAATTATAATTTAAAAAACTAAGACCTCGCGATTATAATTTCCATTCGTACTGTAATCAGGTATGTAACTTGAGAATAGAAATCGCTGCATCTTTTAGGCACATCAATATTACATAGTTGCATCCCGAGCTAATAAAAGGGTGGTAATAAAAATAATTGCAACGCGCTCCACTGGAACAGTTAACGAACAACAGCTTGTTTCAACGATAACCAGCGAACGTTTGACAATCGAAAAATTTTATGATTCTTAACACCAACGTAGTTATGAGACTCGGCAAATTCATCCACCCTTTTAGCACTATGTGCGAAGAGATTGCTAACATCTCTGGCAAGTTTTTCGACTTCTATGGCAATTTTTTTACCTGATGGGAACAATATCAAAATTTAAAAAGAAGTGTCCCCACTTGGGTCAAATTGGTCACACTGGTTGCTGGGTCCCTCAACGCATGGTATGTGCCTTGCCTCAACGCACGTTTACGCTACGTCGTTGACTGCACAGTATATACAGTAATGTGTGGTACATATTGGCGATCAAAACCGACAGTTTGGCTCAAATTTCCCCTATTTGACCGTGTGACCGCTCGTTTTCGTCAGTCAACGGCCATTTAAGTTTGGACTGATAGTGTGTTCCAAAAATTGCCCAGTCAAGTGAACGACAAGTATTCCGATAGCCTTAAGGAACTGTCTGGGCGGATACACTGCCAGGCATTGGACTTATATATGTATTCGTAAATTTAGAATTTTAATTAATAAATTCACAAAATAACACAAATTCACGTTTTAAATGGCAATATAATCTAACAGTGGATATTTATTTATTTATTTTATTTAAACATATAAACTGGTTGTACAAGTAAGATGTGTAGGAATCTTAATAATCTTACTGTGGATTTTTTTTTTAATTTTAAACTTACATTCTTAATTAAGCATTAGCGTGGGTCGAAAATCCGCTTTTTGCTCAAAAACGAAAAATTAGTAAATATATTAGTTAATAATTTTTTTTACTAAAATTGTAATTATCTTCGAAAGTATTAGCCCTACATACTTTGATATATGGTCCTTTTTTGAAGGGAATCGAAGTAAGCAAAGAAAAAATTTCTTAGCACTTAAATTTTGATGGACTTGGGCGAGCCTAAGATATTGACCAAAAATTGCCATTTTTCAGATTGTTTTTAGAGCATAATCAACCATATTTTTTCTATTACATACCAAACAAAATTCTAAGAAAAAACGGATTTTCGGCCCCCGCTATTAATCATTGATTGGTTAAATATAAACCCACATTTTGTTCATAAATAACAAATATATACATTCATTCATTCAAAGCTAAGTATGCATAACTGGGCTATTAACCAGAGATTGTTAAAACGGCCCTTAGGGCCGGTTGTTCAATGTCTGAGTAGCACTAATCGGAGGTAGAAGCTCCGGTTAAATACAACGACGGTTAAACATCATTATCGTCGTTTTCGACATCATGCATATAACATGTGATCGATAAAGCAGTTTTTGTATTTAACCGAATATTCTACCTCCGATTTGTGTTAATCATACATTGTACTACCGGCCCTTAGGTCCGATTACCCAATGTCTGGTTAACAATAATCTCCGGTTAAACATTTTTATCGACGTATTCGAATCCATTCATATAACAGGGTGTCGGTTAACCAGACATTGAGTAACCGGCCCTTAATCCTCGAAAAGAACTTTTTCTAATCATGAGGCGAAGTTCCCCACAGTAAGTGTTACCGTGCGCGCAAAACGAAAACGCTGCACGCAACCCAAAAGTACTCCTCGGGGACCAATTAGTGAAAAACCATGGCGGAATTATACCAGGATTTTGGCACTGCCTTATTTGAAAAATTGCCTTTAGAATTTGACTATAAGGCAGCCGAATGTCGGAAAATAAAGCAAGAAAGCTGTTTTATTACTTCACCTGTTTATTGCGCCATGGAGAAATCTGCGAAAAGGTTTATTACTACCTTTGTTTCTTAACAGATAATTATCACAAATGATCACTAATTTCTGCTGGAAAGCGTTTCTTAACCCAAAAAAGGAAGATTAAGTTCACGATATTGCAGTTGTGAATTAAAATGATAGAAAAATTATGAAATTTCGGCTCCAATCATTTCGATCTTACCTCGACCTAATAATAATACCAGCATGCTGGTAAGTTATATGCTTAGAGCCTGATGGTACAATCACTTGATGGAGCCAGCAAGCTGGTGTCGTATATTTCCCCTTTTATACAAAAAGGTTTTTGGTTGGATAAAATATTTGCTTTTTTCCAGAGTTCGTTGTTTTTCTATACCATTGCTTATTGAAAATGTTTGCGTGTATACTTATATATTTATATGTAAGTAAAAAATTTAAGCTACCATTTTTAGTCACAACGACTTTTTTAGCTCTTTTTTAGTCCTTTTTTTATAGGAATTTGGCTAACACTAAAGGGATTCGCGGCAACACTGGCCACTACCTATTTTGTGAGAGCGCCATGTAAATGAAAACTTACCACCGCGTGGCGGTGACGCTACCGTTGCCCGTGACGGCGAGAATCAAGAGCAATTTGGTTTTTCCCGTAAAACCGTGTCAGCTGATAGCTTGATTCAATCGAATCATGATGAATATGGACGACGAGAAATTGATTGCGTTTGTTTCGACATACCCGGAAATATTTAATAAGAAAAATCGGTATTACAGGGCCGTCGAACGTAAAAAAAGTTTGTGGGAGCTCATCGGAAAGGAGCTAAATACGAGTGGTAAGTAAAGAATACTTTAACCCATCTTTAAACTAGCAATACCTGTAATATTTTTATAGGAGAAATATGTATGAGAAGATGGGTAGCTCTCCGTGACCGGTATGGCAGGGAGCTGAGGAAAGCGGTAGCACCATCGGGCAACGAGGCAGAATTTTATAAAAAGTGGCGTCTGATGGAGGCAATGCAGTTCCTGAAGCCCCATATTATTACACGACCG